TAAGTAAGCTCAACAATGATGAAACAAGAGATTCCTCGAAACCCAACTTTTCTTCTTATTCATTTGACTGTTCTCCTTCCCGTCAAGGCTAGGCGACGAATGAGCACGGTTCTGCCACCATTAATGCTGGTAATACTACTAACCACTCCTAACTAGTCGGATGTGTGATATGCATTTATGACAGTCCAAGTAGTGTTGCGCAAAAGTGTACTGCATGCTTGAACTGGTGGCCGATTTAGCAAGACAAAATTGCACGAAAATGCATAATTCCAGGACACCATTAGAATGTGAAGTATCGTATCACCAACTCATAGTACGCCTCAGCTCAGTCGATTAGATCTCCACATCATGCCTGAACTTTAATCACTTCTTCTATCCTACATATTCACATTGTAAGCTTTCACTTTCACCCAAAGCCTCACCTCGACCTCTCTTCCACCCACAAGCTCTAGCATTTCCACGCCCCTTTTACCTGAACACAGCCAAAGGGGGAACTCGCGGAATACCTTCAAGAGATGAGTGAGTTAGGTGGCAACAGATTGGTTCCGGTATGCATGGTTTGGAAGATGCATCTGCTGGTCTAATTGGGTTAGTCTGGCAACCAATTGGTTGCGAAGATGGCCGTCTCAAAGACGATGGGTTCACGTCGGACGGGTCAAATTGGTGCACTGGAAATGGCAGGAAATGCTCCGTGAATCTCGTTGAATCTCCCAAATTGAGGGTAATGCTTTTTTGCAGTTGGCATCCCAGTTTTGCTCAGGCTTCAAGGGGTACTGCTTTCATCACAACTCTCTCACTCCGCCAGACGTAAGCCTCACTGACACAACAATCTAAGCTCATTTTCACAATTTTGTTATTTCACTGATGTTTAAGATATGTATTTTATTTTTATTTTTAATTTTTTATCCATACAAGCGAACCCCCACAATCGATCTCTATCTCGTTTGGGAGATGGGATTGGGGCAATTTTATACCACCTTGTCTGATCATTATTTTCGCGATCTCTGAACTCTGAACTCTGCCCTTCTCCGGACAAGAGAGTCTCTTTAGACTGAGCTAGGCTCAAGTTGATCGCACTTTGGCTGAGCCCTGTTTGATCAGATCACCTTCACGTCAAGTGCAAGTGTTTGTGATGAAGCTTCCCCTCGGGCCAGTTGTCGTTTGCGTTCGGTTTGGGTGCAATCCTGCTAAACTCCCGTTTGTCTTGTCATTTGACAGACAGCAATTTTAGGAGGTGAATAGGTGAAGAAAAGCTGGGCATAGAAAAATTCCTCAGTTTTCTATTCTGGCATGCATTTTGGTTTCCAAGTCAAAGTTGACTTGAGGCAATTCGTGAATTGGTCTTTCTGGAGCTCGAATGAGGATCGACTTGGAGTGAAGCTGTTGGATTGTTCAAAGACGAAGATGAACCCATGCCAAGCTTTCGTGTGCCCTGTCGTGAGAGGCGCCGCTAGATCGGGAAGTGGATCTGATTGCCTCGGGTCGCTGTTGTTTCTTGGCCGATTGTATTTGGTGCTTATTTTCCAATTATGTCTGTCACATGATGGACGGCAGCTTGGCACATGTTCATCGGAGTCGCGGACTTTTTGGCACAATCCGACCGTCTTCACTTCTTGGCAATCCTTTCTCGGTGTCAGGTGAGACCGTTTTGACGAATTTCCTCCAACCAACCTTTCCTGCGTCACATCGCAATCCTTAGAGCTGGACATCGTTTCCACGACAACTTCCGGCTGACAAGTCGATAAATCTCGTCAACTCATCCCCAAATGCTGTGTATAGCCTGTAAACCAATGCATTTTCGTGAGGTGTAGAGTAAGTTGTTTAGTTCATGTCACATGCCAATCTAGACTCATGCAGGTATGTGCCTTGCTGTATGCAAAAGTGTGCACAGCCAGCAGTGCTGATGCTAACTTTCACTCGAAATGGAGACGAACGCAACAACTGTCAAGCCAGAGAGATTCAGCGAAAGACTTGTCTTCTCCAAATCCGGTGAGCCTTGCTTGTCTGAAGGTTCAGCTGGTTCTTGAGTGACCTGTCTTCAGGTCCGAGCGCCGACTGAAAGGGGGACTCGGGCTACCTCTTGTCTGGCCTGCAGCCAATCTGAAGGGTCTTATAGGTTGCTGCCACCGTCGATTCGAGTCTGAGCCCCACATCCCGACGCAACGAAGCAGAGCTCGAATCGACTCAGTCCTCACGCAAGGCTGCGTAAAAAGCGCTCGCCA